CACAAAATAACTCGATCGATCTTTAATTTTTACTAAACGACTTAGTTTATACTTAATAATCCACAAAATAACTCGATCGATCTTTAATTTTTACTAAACGACTTAGTTTATACTTAATAATCCACAAAATAACTCGATCGATCTTTAATTTTTACTAAACGACTTAGTTTATACTTAATAATCCACAAAATAACTCGATCGATCTTTAATTTTTACTAAACGACTTAGTTTATACTTAATAATCCACAAAATAACTCGATCGATCTTTAATTTTTACTAAACGACTTAGTTTATACTTAATAATCCACAAAATAACTCGATCGATCTTTAATTTTTACTAAACGACTTAGTTTATACTTAATAATCCACAAAATAACTCGATCGATCTTTAATTTTTACTAAACGACTTAGTTTATACTTAATAATCCACAAAATAACTCGATCGATCTTTAATTTTTACTAAACGACTTAGTTTATACTTAATAATCCACAAAATAACTCGATCGATCTTTAATTTTTACTAAACGACTTAGTTTATACTTAATAATCCACAAAATAACTCGATCGATCTTTAATTTTTACTAAACGACTTAGTTTATACTTAATAATCCACAAAATAACTCGATCGATCTTTAATTTTTACTAAACGACTTAGTTTATACTTAATAATCCACAAAATAACTCGATCGATCTTTAATTTTTACTAAACGACTTAGTTTATACTAATAATTCACAAAATAACTCGATCGATCTTCAATTATTGTTAAATTACTTAGTTTATACTTAATAATTCACAAAACAACTCGATCGATCTTCAATTATTGTTAAATTACTTAGTTTATACTTAATAATTCACAAAACAACTCGATCGATCTTCAATTATTGTTAAATTACTTAGTTTATACTTAATAATTCACAAAACAACTCGATCGATCTTCAATTATTGTTAAATTACTTAGTTTATACTTAATAATTCACAAAACAACTCGATCGATCTTCAATTATTGTTAAATTACTTAGTTTATACTTAATAATTCACACAATAACTCGATCGATCTTCAATTATTGTTAAATTACTTAGTTTATACTTAACAATTCACAAAATAACTCGGTTGATCTTTAATTTTTACTAAACGACTTAGTTTATACTAATAATTCACAAATAACTCGATCGATCTTCAATTATTGTTAAATTACTTAGTTTATACTTAACAATTCACAAAATAACTCGGTTGATCTTTAATTTTTACTAAACGACTTAGTTTATACTAATAATTCACAAATAACTCGATCGATCTTCAATTATTGTTAAACGACTTAGTTTATACTTAATAATTCACAAAATAACTCTATTGATCTTCAATATCAATGCGTAGTAATCTTAATAATTATAAAAATTGTCCCAACAACTATTAGAGTTGTTAGTCAACTATGCGAAGTTGTTGGACAACTGTGAGAAGACGTTGGACAATTAAAAAGTTGATGGAAAAACTAAAGCAGTTGTTTAATAATGTGCAATTAATTGAAAAACTTGACCCCTTCAACTGTATCCGTTGTCCAACAACTTTTGAAGTTGTTGGTATACATCTAATAAAAATCTTAACTACATAATTGTTTGAACTAATCATAGCATCTGTAAATACATGTTATGCATACGATAATAACTCATGAAACTACACCATTTCTTTTCTTTGAAACCATTTCTCCTATAGTAGGTACTCGTTTCAGCCGCTTCCTTCCCAGTTTAGTTTTCTTTTCAGGTGGAGGTATTACTCTCTCTAAAATTTCCAGAGGAAGATTCCAAAATTCTTCAGCTGGCACTGGATAGATTGGATCTGCATATGCAAGTATATATGACTCTACCTTATAATACGGAGAAGAGTACTCATAAATCATCTTGCCATATTCATCTCCAAATTTGTGTCTGAGCGCAGCCATAGCATGTTGACAAGGTATTTTATCCAAGTCAAACTCTTGACACGAACATATTTTACTTCGAAGATGGACCATTGCGATTTCATTGTCCGCGGTGACGCTGAAGGTGTCTTCATCAATTTGATGGACCAATAATTTATTTCCCAGATTCTTATTAGCCATTATTTTAGTTTCAGCTGAAGGAACGAATGTGGTTTTTAACTTGGCGTGTGCCATTCTTCTCTCATGAAATTTTTCCGACCATCTCTTGCTTATATCATTGAACAAGGCAATAATGGGAAATTCTCTTGCTTCATTGAACATTGCATTAACAGACTCAGCAATATTTGAGGTCAATACATCATATCTGAAATATAAGAATTCAAAAATATCAAAAATTAAAATACAAACTATTGCTTAATAATTCACAAAATAACTCGATTGATCTTTAATTTTTACTAAACGACTTAGTTTATACTTAATAATTCACAAAATAACTCTATTGATCTTCAATATCAATGCGAAGTAATCTTAATAATTATAAAAATTGTCCCAACAACTATTAGAGTTGTTAGACAACTATGCGAAGTTGTTGGACAACTGTGAGAAGACGTTGGACAATTAAAAAGTTGTTGGAAAAACTAAAGCAGTTGTTTAATAATGTGCAGTTAATTGAAAAACTTGACCCCTTCAACTGTATCCGTTGTCCAACAACTTTTGAAGTTGTTGGTATACATCTAATAAAAATCTTAACTATGTCCAACAATTTCTCAAAAAAGTACTCATATGCGGCATCACATTCCTTATCTACTACACAAAATGCAACAGGAAAAACATGATTTTCTGTATCCTGTGCGACAGCAGACAACAAAACTCCATCGTAACGACCTCTTAAGAATGTTCCATCAACGGCTAAAACTTTTCTCATATGCACAAACCTCTTAATCCAAGCTTCATAAGATGCAAAAAAATATTTGAACCTTCCCTTGTCATCAATCTTTAACGATGTCTTGCTTCCTTCATTTATAGTCATAAGCATATGACGATAACCTAACCATCTAGAACTGCATATCCCGTGCTCCGGTGTCCCTCTTATCATAGCATTTGCTATCTCACTGCTTTTCCAACACTTCCAGTAACTAATCTTGCAGCTCAAATCTGCTTGCACTATATTTTTTATGTCTTTTGTGGAGGGACCTTTTCCATTCAAGTAATTAGGTTGTATGTATTCTGCAATGACATCTGCTGAGGCATGTGGATGATGACTTGTAAGGTGTTGTGCCCCACATGAGTGAATGTTGCGATACTTTGTAATTTCAAATCTATTACAACTTTTAAGTTTTGTAGCTCGCAACCACCAATCACAATTCTGATCTACACATCTAGCACAATACACATCTTTAGAACTCTTCACAGATTTGAATCTTTGATCTTTCTTCACGGAAGCAAGCTTCAACAATTTAGTTAATTCTTGCTTGTCCTTGAAAATTTTACCCTTATAAAAATCTGTGCCGTCATCATCTGTGTAGCGGCTACCTTGTGTTGATATCGAATGTAGTGAAGCTTCCTCATTTATAGGAATATCCATTGTAACAGGATGCTCTTCATCATTTACAACTGAATTTGTAGTCTCTATAATCTTCTCAACCACAGATATCCTTAAAATTGGCCTACTTTGATCATCTAAAAAAATCGCAAATCAAGATCGTTTCTTATCCTAGAAGGAGCTCCTTTTTGCTTTTCAATAAAGCCAAGCATGTAACTAATAGAGAGATCATTTTTATCACAATCTAATTCAAACCTAGAAACAATGATGTCAACTAATTCATCGTACGTAACATTCTCGCTTATCTTTATCGGTACTGTCTCTCGACCCTTCGAACGCCAAGTATAACGAGTAGGATTCTCCACCCATTCACCATGTAAATCAACTCCTATTATTATATGGTCTTCCATAGAGGGAAACAATACCTGGAGACATCACAAGTAAGACATTCATCAAAGAACTACAAAAATTGCAAAAGAACATTGATTACTTGTTTTACATCTATTTAGTTACCTCACAACTATCAACAATTGGCATAAAAGTTTAGTAGCTTTGGAGACTGCTATAATTCTTCAATTATTTATTTCAACAATTAATACTTTGCCCACAATTATATTACTTGTCCTAAAAATTAATCAGTTGACCAACAACTGAACACAACTGTCAAACAACTGCAGTAGTTGTTGGGAAAACTTCTATAATCGTCCGATAACTACAGACAGTTGTTGGACAACTTCTATAATCGTCCGATAGCTACAGACTGTTGTTAGACAATTTCTATATCTGACAGAGATGTTTATTTATTTCTACAAACAACTTCAGCAGTTGTCCAGACAACTACGAAAGTTGTTGGCTGAAATAATCAAATTAGATTTAATAAACCTAGATGAAGAATGGACACAAAATAATTTTTATATTTATCAATAATTCTCTTTTGAGTTAATTTCAAGATCAAACAGAACCAATGCAATGCAAAAAGTTCAAAAAATTTTGGTATCCATTTTCACAAAATTTTCTTGATAGATCTTCTCATAAATCACATATATGCTTACAAATTAAGAATGATGAGGATGAAGAAAAAGAAGAAGAAGGGAATTGAGAAGCATACTTCAGCCTCGTTGAAGACTTGGTAGTTGTCCTTCAGGCTCGTTGTTGAAGACGCTGCAAGTGAGAAAAAAGTACCGCCTTTTTTCTTCTCATATATTTTAGTGAAATTTTAGATATTTTGAGGTAAAAATATAGGGTAAAAGTGTAAAAGTTAAAAGTTTGGGGCTGTTGAGGAAAGATTTTTTAATTTCCTTAATATTAATTATATATTTGTCACTTCTACGTAATATTTAAAACTTGGAGGACTCCTACCTAATTAACAAAATACTTTGTCACTTTTAATACACTATCCCGAAAGAGAAGGTAGAAATTGAGAAAGCTGGGTAGGGTTTGAACTTTGAGAGGACAAGAAAAGAAGCTCGCTCGTACTAACGCCGTTTCGTTCGGGTTAAGTAGTATCTTTGTCCCCAGTTACTTGTCAATTTTTAAATTGGTAAACCAATTAAAAAAATTATTATGAACATAAGATTTTCAAAAAAAATTACATTTTTCAAAATAATTAATTAAGGATATAATAGGTAAAAAAAAATAACTTTTCTTAATTTATCAAAATAAACAAGTAAATAGAGACAACTAAAAAAAAAAGTGAATAAGTAATTAGAAACAACTAAAAAAAAAGAGTGGAAAAGTAATTAGGGACAAAAGGAATAGTAGATTGGTTTTATAAAAAGGGGATTGGATGGAAACAAGTTATTTCACCATGTATATGATAACTTAGAGCCCGTTTGGATTGGCTTAAAAAAAGTAGTTTTTAACTCAAAAATAAAAAGTCAAACTGAAATGACTTTTAAGTCAAAAAATAAAAAATAGGGGGAGATCTACTTTTGGTTTCTGACTTATTTTAAGTCATTTTTTACTTATTTTAAGTCATTTTTTACCTTGTCAAACACTTCGTAACCTATTTTAAGTCATTTTTTATATTTGTCAAACACTTTCAGAAATCAAAAACTGATTTAAAAGTAGGTTTGACTAACTTTTAAGCCAATTCAAACGGGCTCTTATTTTATCAATAAAGTGTAATTATGAGATAAATAATTTTAAGATAGTCTAATATTACCTTCAATCAAATGCATGATAAAATAGTCCAACATTGTTATTATCATATCTAATACCTCAAGTCAAACGACTCGAAGGAGACAAGGGTATCGTGGTGTAGTTGGTTATCATGTCAGTCTAATAGACTGAAGGGGGGAATATAGTTTGCTAGCATGTGAGTTGTTTTTTCCCGAAATTACTTTTCCTATTTTACTTTGGGTAAATTGCACCAAATGACACATATAATGTTGAGGTGTTTGGCGGAGTTAGTTTGTGATAATAGTTATCATTTTTTATTTAAATAGTGTTGTTTAAAGCTTCTTATGGTAGGAGATATAAGCTTTCAGTTGGGTGATTCAACACTTTTGAGGTAGATTGTGGAGTATTGATTTGTTGAGAGATTCCTTAGACTAAATGAATAGGTGATTTAGAATAGACTTTACACAGCCTAATTCAGACAAAAGATCTAAGCAAATTAGAAGTTCTATGATTTAAAATTTATGATTGTCGAAAAGGTGTTGATGAAGCTATGGCCTATGAAAATGGTCATGGGGTTTGAAAAGAAGGACAAACTTAACCTTAAGGGTTCGTTTGGTTTGAATATAAGTTATGCTGGGATAAGTTAAGTTGGGATTAGTTATACTGGGATTATTTATCCTGACATTATATCTTATTGATTATTTGGTTTGTTGTACTAAAAATAATGACCATGGCATATTTCTCAAAAAATAAGTGGTTTGATTACAAAAATACCCTCTTATTTTAGCTTTTTTTTACATATATATTTTTGGTAGAGTTTAAAACCCAATCCATCCAAGATAGAAAACCCACCAGTAACTCATTTTAAAAATAAATCTCACCTATCCACATAGTCCTTCCAATCTTTTCTTCCTTGACCTTCTTGAATACACATGTAGACGTGAGAAACAAACCATTCTCCATTTTCATTTTCAGACGAGAAGTACTAAACACCCATTTACTTATTTAGTCAAAAAATAAAAGAGTAAAATTAGCAGAACACGATAAAAAAATTGAAATCTCGATAAGTATCCATGTACAGAAATGTGGTAAAACAACCAATTTTGGCACATATTATAAATGACACAAATTAAAAAAATGGAATCTTGATAAATTCCCACATACATAAATGTGTTAAAATAATATTTTTTGCACACATTATGGAAGAGAAAGATCAAAAAATGAAATCTTGATAAATAGCGCAGCCACATTCAAAAATATGTTTAAATACCAAATCTTTGCATATAAATTATTAAAGACAAATACACGAACATTTTTTTCAACCTAAGAGGTAACGTGACAATTATTAAAGCGGGAGTAAAGTTTCATAAGCAGCCCTTGTGAAAGGTTATCAAATTAAATGATTTGAAGGGTAGTTTTGTCATTTAATAAGTTTATCCCATGATAAATTATGATGGGATTATTATACCACCCCTTGAGAGGGATAACTTATCTCGATACTCTTTATTAATTTCAGGATAAGTTATCCAAAACTTCCCAACCAAACACTAAATCCGTCACACCAAACGGCCCCTAAGTTTATTGGTCTGATTGAGGTGCTACAATGCACTGGTGAGGTAGCTATGAGTTGTCCTTGCCTCCGGGACTATTAGATGTGCACTCGATATTTCTTGTGTCTATGTTGACGAAGTATCTAACTAATCCCAAATAATTTGATGAGACACGATATAGTTGGATCTGAATATGACTTTTGAGCATATAGTTATTTCAGATAGACAGATTCAAAAATTGAGGTCCAATGAGATAACATCAATGAAGGTGTAAAACAGGCATTGTTCGATGAAGAAGGCCACCTGAGAGACCAAGGTAGACATGATATCCTCATATTTTTGGTAGTCTAAATACTTTTTTTATTTATTTATTTTTATGTTTGAAGATGAATGTATATTTTATGGTGGATGATTTCGCATGATTGTTTTGAGTTTTTTGTGTTTTTTTTTTCTTTTTTGCCCTTTCATGTAGCTATCTATCATTTCTTACTTGTGGAGATGAATAACACGATTCTTGAGGTGATCAAATAGGTTTTGGGTGAGTTTTAATTTAAAAAAAAATAAATTTGATTAAAATCAACATTCTAGGTTAACAAGCTCGAATTCAAATGTTGACAATTTTGTTAGTTTCATAAGGTATTTTTGACTTTGTTGAATGATTGGTGTGACTCCCAAGGAGTTGGGAATTATATGAGTCATTGATTGAATTTTGAATGTTAAGGAAGTTAAGTTTAGCCGTGATTATTTTTTGGTCACACGACCACAAATCAGTGATATGATGATTCAACAAGTTCGAAAGATAATTTCTAATCAATGTGAATGGTTGATTTCTTTTTGTGGGTTTCAAATGAATTTGGAGGGTCTGTTCGAAAAGTTTGTGAAGTTGGATTGTTGTTGATTTTTGCTGCTATTTGGCGCCTTTTTCACTTTGCGATTCAAGATGATACACTTGTGACAATTGGTTCAAATATTAAGCGTAGATTTTGCGAGATGTTATAAGCCCAGATTGAAAAACTTTCAACTTAGAGTCATCCTTAATAATATTGGCAAGGTATAAACAATATAGAGTCCATATGTTGTTATTAATGTAATGACTATCAAGCTTTCAATAGAGACTTCATTTCAATAAAAGGATACAAAATTGAATATGGTCGAGTGATTTTAGGAGAAAAATCAGTAATTGGGAAGAGGAAAGATAAAATATGATTTTTCTACAAGTACTAAAAAGCAGTCGAGATTTTAAAAGCAAATCCCACTAAACATTAGTTACGATTCATAATTATGTAAAATTATAGTTGTATTAAATGATATATTAGTAATGTTTGCCAAGTCACGTAATTTTTCCTTTTAATTGGATCAAGGTAGATAAGAACAATATTTTTTTTATTCGGCCTTCTAACTGACAAGGAGAAGAACAATTTTGTCCCCATGTTTGCTATTTTTTATTTGAATTATTTGAGGGAAACCAATTGTCATATTAATAAATTGATCACTCACAAAACATTAATCTTCAATTTAAAAAAGATAGACCGTCTACTTTTAAAATCACAAAGACGGTATACAATAGTAAAATCAACTACATTTACACATAAGAATTGCAAATTATAATTTTAATATGTATGCAATATTATAAATTGTTCAAAGTACAAATAATCACAAAAACACACACGCACGCGCGCGCGCACACACACACACATATATATATATATATATATTTGTTATTTCAATTAATAAATGTTAAATATCTCACATTTCAAATATTGTAATTGATTTATTTAACAACAAAGAACTATCTCTAAATAATAACATTTATAGGCTAATTTATTTAAATAAATTTATTAATATAAATATAAAACATAAAATCAAGAAAATAAATAAAATGATACTTTTACACAAATTACTATTTTTTATCTAGCAAAATATTCTAATATGTATGATGTGCATATTTTAAAAATTAAAGTAGTAATTTAGTCTATCTTAATTAATCATATGTATTTCATATTCTTAAGGAAAAGAATTGTTTCTGAAGAACTACACCACTAAAATATTTGCAGTTTCACCCAATAACATCCATATAACTCCACAACTGCCCCCTCATCAAATTAAAAGTAGCATTTCTGCCCCTCAAATTTACAGATTTCTCAAAGGGTACTCACAAACTAAGCAACGCCTCCATCAGCCCAGCGATTCAAGCCTGCTCAAAATGAACCCTTCCCTTCGCCGGAGCAGGCAATTCTCCGGTCACATTCGCCACCGGCGAACTATTTCCACAACGCGCAAATTCAACAACCAAGGAAACGACAAAAACTTCATAGCAACTCTAAATGAAATCGTTCGGAGCAAACGGAGCTGGAATATAGCACTGAACAGCACCATTTCCACCAGACTGAAAAACCATCACGTAGAGCAAATTCTAATTCAAACCCTTGATGATTGTAGGTTGGCTTTACGGTTCTTCAATTTTCTTGGCCTTCACAAGAACTTTTATCATTCAACAATATCGTTTTGCATTCTAATACATTCCCTTGTTCAGTCCAATCTTTATTGGCCTGCTACTTCACTTTTGCAGACCCTATTGCAAAGAAAAGTGAACCCAAGTTTTGTTTTTGACAATTTGTTAGATGTGTATAAAAGATTCAATTTTGGTCACACTTTGGGTTTTGATTTGCTAATCCAAAATTATGTTCAGGATAGGAGAGTAATGGATTCTGTGTTGATTGTTAGGCTTATGATGGAGCATTCATTAGTACCAGAATTAAGGACTTTAAGCACTGTGCTAAATGGGTTGATTCGAATAAGACGGTTTGATTTGGTTTTGCAATTGTTTGATAATGCAGTAACTTTGGGTGTTAAGCCTGATGAGTATATTTATACAGCTGTGCTTAAAAGTTTGTGTGAGTTGAAAGATTTTGAAAAGGCTAAGGAAATGATGAATTGGGTTGAGAGAAGTGGGAGTAAAGTGAGTGTTATTTTACACAACATATTGATTCATGGGCTCTGTAAGGATGGAAGAGTTTGGGAAGCTGTTGAAATTAAAAGTTTGTTGATTAGCAAAGGATTGAATGCTGATACTGTCACATATTGTTCTTTGATTTTGGGGCTGTGTAAAGTGAATGAATTTCAGCTTGCTCGAAGGTTAGTGGATGAGATGTTGGGGCTGCTTTTGGTTCCTCGTGAGGCTGTAGTGTCGAGTGTTGTTGACGGGTTGAGGAGAGAGGGTGATTGTGTAGCTGCTTATAGATTAGTTGATATGACAGGGAAAGTTGGAGTTGTGCCCAATTTATTTGTTTATAATGCATTGCTTAATTCTTTGTGTAAAGGTGGGAAGTTGGATGAAGCAGAGTCTCTTTTTAATAGAATGGAGGATAAAGGGTTGTGCCCAAATAGTGTAACTTATTCCATCATGATTGACTCTTTCTGCAAGCAAGGGAGATTAGATGCTGCAGTTCTTCTTTATAATAGAATGCTTGATAATGAGGTAGAATTAACCATATACCCTTACAATTCTCTCATCAATGGCTATTGCAAGGCTGGAAAATGCAGTGCGGCGGAATCTATCTTTAATGAGATGATTGATAAAGGATTGACCCCAACTGTTGTAACCTATACTTCATTGATAGATGGCTACTGCAAGGAAAGAGAAGTGCAGAAGGCCTTTAGGCTTTACCATGAGATGACTGGCAAAGGAATCTCACCTAATACTTTCACTTTCACTGCACTAATCTCTGGTTTTTGCCGTGCACACATGATGGTAGAAGCAAGTAAGTTATTTGATGAGATGGTGAAAATGAATGTAACTCCTAATGAGGTCACTTATAATGTCTTGATTGAAGGGCATTGTAAAGATGGAAACACCATAAAGGCTTTTGAATTGCTAGATGAAATGTTGAAGAAGGGTCTCGTTCCTGACACATATACGTACAGATCTCTGATAACTGGACTTTGTGCAAAAGGTCAAGTATCTGAAGCAAAAGAGTTTGTTGATGACCTTCAAAACCAGTGTCATTATCTGAATGAAATGTGTTTCTCTGCTCTCTTACATGGTTATTGTAAGGAAGGAAGATTAAAGGATGCACTAACCACTACTGATGAGATGATAGAAAAGGGAATAAACATGGACCTTGTGTGCTACGGTGCACTTATTTATGGAACTCTAAAGCTTCATGATTGGAAATATTTATTAAATATAATGAAGGAGATGCACGACCGAGGAATGAAGCCTGATGAAGTAATATACACTAGCATGCTTGATGCATATGGAAAAGTTGGTGATCTTAAAAAAGCTTTAAAATGCTGGGATATAATGGTCAGTGAAGGATGTTTCCCAAATATGGTGACGTATACTGTGATGATAAATAACTTGTGCAAGGCTGGATTAGTAGATAAAGCAGAGATATTCTACAAGGAAATGTTAGCTAAAGGGTTGACACCTAACCAGTTCACATATAGTTGTTTCCTTGATTATCTCACTAGTGAAGGGTACTTGGTAGAAGCTAAACAGCTTCACGATGCAATGCTGAAAGGGTACCTTGCAAATACTGTGACATACAATATTATTATACGGGGTTTGTGCAGATTAGACCAAATTCAGGAAGCGATGGATATTTTGCTTGAAATGGAGGACAATGGTATCTCCCCAGATTGCGTAAGTTACTCAACTATCATTTATGAATTCTGTAGGAGGGGTGATCTGTTAGGAGCAAGAGGCTTGTGGGAATCCATGTTGACTAATGGTCTGAAGCCTGATGCAGTGGCTTATAACCTTTTCATTTATGGTTGCTGCATCGCTGGAGAAATGTCCAAGGCATTTGAATTGCGTGATGAGATGATAAGAAGTGGTCTGAAGGTGACTCATGCAACATATGCTTCTTTAATCCATGGAACCTGAAAAATGGGGCAGTCCACCAGATCTGCTAGCGCTGCTGCAAGGATCATTTACTTTGATCAAGTAATGACTATCAAAATTCAGGATATTTGTACAGGACGTGATCATGTCAACCTTTACTCTAAAATGCCTCATCCATGAATAGTTCAACGTCCTGCCTTTTTATATGAGGACATGAACTAAGAGTTGGGCATCTTTAGAACTTCAAGGGAGGTAGTTTAACAATTTTTATTTTTTTTCTTTTTCCTGTATATTTAAATCCAATTGTGTAACATAGGAAGTATTGGGAGGCAATATAACAATCTTCAAGTTCTGGATAATGAACACCCAACGTGTGCTGCTTGTATTGTCTATGAGTTAGTAAAGACCCTGATGTGTTTCTTCCTACTTCCTGTTGCTTGTTCAATTATAACTTAAAAATTTGTTTTCTACTCAAATTAGATTTTTCATTTATCTCCAGCTGATCTTCATGGCTCGGCTGTTTTTCCTTCTCTTATAGAGCATAGTGCAGTATTTGGAGTATATCAGAGGGTCTCCATATTACTTGGAGAGATGTTACAAAATAGCTTCCAATATTTACTTTTACATTTTAGTTGAGTGTCTTTTTGCCAGTGGTTTCAGGAGAGGCCATGCATGTATGTCTCTGTGTGTTTGTATTTTCTGTAACTACCATGAGTTATCATGACTGTTTTATTTTTTTTGTAGACAGGGGAAACCCGCAGCCGCTACCCTTTGAGTGTGCACAGGGTAAAACGCTCCTATGCAATAGCTCGCAAACCACATAGGAGATGTAACCCACACTAGGCAAACCCGGTGCGACAAGCTCGACCCAGAAGGCAAACCCCTTGCTTTCACTGGCAAGGGGTTTCGAACTTGAGCCTCCAACATGGAAGTCCCAAGTCCAAACCGCTGGGCCACCCGGAAGGGTGAGTTATCATGTCTGTTTTCACTATTAATAGCTGATAATACACCTTTTTTTTTATATTTTCAGAACTTTATTCATACAGGCAACTGTTAATATGCTGTTGATGTTAATATCTGCAAGCTGGTATTCTAATCAGGTACGCAAAGAGTGTCCAGATGCTTTAAATTTCAAGAGTTGCTTGTGTTCCACATCGTGAAATTTCTTTCTTTTTTCTGTGGGCTTTTGTTGCACGCTGCTAGGAGTCCCATTATGAGACATGTCATGCAATCTCTTACTCACAATACTCTAGCTGATGAGGCAGTGTGCATGTTCTGTTAACTTATAGAGGTGTAGGAGCTACATTTATTCCTTAAAACTATCAGTAGATCAGTTCACAATATCACTGAAGATGTCACTTCATTCCAACTTGAATTCTTGAGCTTATCTAAGTGTTTGTGTGTTTGTGTATTATATAAAGGATATAGAATCACTTATCTGGTATCGTGGATATAACCGTGTGGTTACCATAAAGTTGATGATTCAACAAACATTTTCGAAACCCCTTGGGGGTTGGCCTTCTAGGTCGACCTCGTTGCACGGGGCATGTTTAGTGCGGTTTACCTCTCCTGTGAGTTATTGCAAAGGAGTGGAGTTTACCCGGTGCGCACGCAAAGGGAAGCAGTTGCGGTTCCCTTGTCATCAAAATAAAAATTAAGGATATAGAATTTGTGTCAGATGGAATTGGACTAACGAGATTTTAACTTTTTGTTCCTTGTCAAGACGTTTTGAATAGGTGGTGTTCCTTGTTTTATTTTGTGCTTTCTTTGTCTAACTCAATTAGTTATGTATAGCTTCCTGTATTTGTTCACATTTATACTTATGTTATACTTATGTTGTCAGCTTCAAAAACTAAAAGTGGAGTCAGTGTTGTTGCATTATCTCTCCCAATTGAAGGTCCTTCAAGGTAAAGCTAGTTTTGTAGCTAATTTGTAATAAATATGAGTTTTGTAAAGAATGGAGTTACATTTACAATGACCTCTCTGCAGGATTAGAGTTGAGAATGGCTACTAGTACAAGATTGAGAACTTGCTTGTATAGCTTCACGTCACCAGGTGCTCCCATGTACCCAACAAGAGCTGTCCGCCATGCAGCATGGGATGCATTAGATTTGCTATATCCTGTTGAGTAATCTCTCCATTATCTGAATAAAGCTCATGATTTAATATCATTACTGCGTCGTATTCTGGACAATTTATGGATTGATGTAAGATGTATTTACTTTTCATCTGTGCATGAGATGTTTAACGGTGTAGCGAAGTATCTTGATGCACAATGCACCTAGGAAGTAGATAAAGAATTACAGAAACAATAGTTCAGATTCCTTTGGGGTATCTTCAAATAAAAGATATTCTGGTCTTTATCAGTTTTTTCTTTGAGAGTCAGAAATGCAGCTTGAACTTTAAGCTGCATATATTTTTGGACTAGCTTGTAACATCTTGTGCATAGCTGTTGAGAAGAAAAGTCCGGGCTAGAAGAGTTAAAACCTAATCTGGAACTGGTGATATTTTTGTTAGTGGGTGGTATACAAAGATAACTTCTTAGAAAAGCTGTTTCAGTTACTTTGCCAGTTTGTGGTAAACGTGGAATCCTTTGTTAGCCTCTGTATTTTCTTTTCAACATGGAAGCTTATGATTGCCGTTAGCATTAGAGAATATCGCAAGCTTAGGAGTTTTATCGTCTTCCTCTTCATCTTAAGAGTTCCATTTTTTCCTCTAACGTGATTTAATGTCTTGCTTCAGGTCGGACGATACCCTCGGCATATTATAAGTCTCTTTTTCCGTTTGCTGTATCCTTGGTATTGGCCTTCATTTTGGAACTTTATAAAGTCATGCATTCTGGCCGTGTTCTATTCTCTTTTGAGGTTAATATTTTCTAGTTGGGATAAAGTGAGGAGTAGACCAAAGGAGCAATGATGTCGCCCAATGGTGTTCGAGTGCGGAGTAATGTTGTATGTTTTTTATTCAAGAAGTTTCGTTCTTGATGAATCAAAGGTTTTTTTTCTGCATGTAATTATGATATTGGGAATTATTGTTTTCGGAAGCATGGTGGTGTAGAACGATATACATGTAGAATTGTTCTTATTGCCACTGTAGCGCATATACTACTTGTATGCTTTTACTTTTCTTAGTTCAGGTTGTAGGTGAAGAAAATGCCAGGATCCTCTTCAGTATTCATTCTGATTTTAGCTCAACTCAGGGGTTTGGTTGGTGGATTAAGGGATCAAAGTTATAAATTGTGGATTATCTTACGTTATGTTTGGAACACACTTTTTTGGGGGGTTGGCGGGGTGCAATTGAAGAGAACTTTTTATTAATCACCAAGTAGACTTGAAAATCAAGGCTCAAATATCCAGTGGGCAATTCTGAGAGACTGAAAAACTACCCCTCCATTTCATTATTCGTCTGGTTTTGACTTGGCATGGCATTTTAAAAAGTAAAAAAAAAAAAAAACTTTTAAATTTGTGGTTAAGAAGTAAAGATATATAGAATGAAGTAAAAAGATATTAATTTTGTGGTCTTAAACTTGTTAGAATTGAAGAGTTGTTAAAAAAGGAAAGAGCATTTATTTTGAAACGTGCTTTATCCTACAACAAAGAAATCACAAAACCCCAAAAGAGAGAAGTCTGTTGTGTTGAACTTTAATGCAAATAGCGGCGTTGAGCCTATGTAGCATGCCTTTGAAGATGGAGCTCGGTTGTGATGCAACCATTGGTTTCTCTCAATCCAGAGGCTGTAGACAGTTGCGGCTAAGAGGTCTTCTGCTTGTAGCATTTGCCATTCTTTCTCCCAAAGTCGGATACTTCTATTGCGCTTGAACCATTGCATAGCTTTTTGCACAACCCATTTCGAACAAGACATGTCTTAGGCTTTTAGTTAGGGGACTTTTTTTTATACAGATGCATATGTATGTCATCACTGGCATGCCCCATCTTAGTAGTTCTTTCCAGCAGTGCCATCTAGAGGTGATTTATCTGCTTTTGGGCTAGATCATGTAAGCCTCTTTAATATGAAACTTCCCATGCTTGATCAACTGAGTGCCATCGTCCCAATATTCTCATATGATGCTTGCTTTGAGAATCATTTACTTTGATCAAGTAATGGCTATCAAAATTCAGGATATTTGTACAGGACGTGATCATGTCAACCTTTACTCTAAAATGCCTCATCCATGAATAGTTCAACGTCCTGCCTTTTTATATGAGGACATGAACTAAGAGTTGGGCATCTTTAGAACTTCAAGGGAGGTAGTTTGACAATTTTTTCTTTTTTTTTCTTTTTCCTGTATATTTAAATCCAATTGTGTAGCATAGGAAGTATTGGGAGGAAATATAACAATCTTCAAGTTCTGGATAATGAACACCCAACTTGTGCTGCTTGTATTGTCTCTGAGTTCGTAAAGACCCTGATGTTGTTCTTCCTACTTCCTGTTGCTTGTTCAATTATAACTTAAAAACTTGTTTTCTACTCAAATTAGATTTTTCATTTATCTCCAGCTGATCTTCATGGCTCGGCTGTTTTTCCTTCTCTTATAGAGCATAGTGCAGCATTTGGAGTATATCAAAGGGTCTCCATATTACTTGGAGAGATGTTACAAAATAGCTTCCAATATTTACTTTTACATTTTAGTTGAGTGTCTTACAAAATAGCTTCCAATATTTACTTTTACATTTTAGTTGAGTGTCTTACAAAATAGCTTCCAATATTTACTTTTACATTTTAGTTGAGTGTCTTACAAAATAGCTTCCAATATTTACTTTTACATTTTAGTTGAGTGTCTTACAAAATAGCTTCCAATATTTACTTTTACATTTTAGTTGAGTGTCTTACAAAATAGCTTCCAATATTTACTTTTACATTTTAGTTGAGTGTCTTTTTGCGAGTGGTTTCAGGAGAGGCCATGCATGTATGTCTCTGTGTGTTTGTATTTTCTGTAACTACCATGAGTTATCATGACTGTTTTTTTTTTTTTGAAGACAGGGGAAACCCGCAGTCACTACCCTTTGGGTGTATATAGGGTAAAACCCCCGCTCGACCCAGAAGATAAATCCCTTGCTTTCGCTGGCAAGGAGTTTCGAACTTGAGACCTCCAATATGGAAGTCACAAGCCCAAACCACTGAGCTACCCCGAAGGGTTTGTTATCATGACTGTTTTCACTATTAATAGCTGATAATACACCCTCTCTTTTTTTATTATTTTCAAAACTTTATTCATACAGGCAACTGTTAATATGCTGTTGATGTTAATATCTGCAAGCTGGTATTCTAATCAGGTACGCAAAGAGTGTCCAGATGCTTTAAATTTCAGAGTTGCTTGTGTTCCACATCGTGAAATTTCTTTCTTTTTTCTGTGGGCTTTTGTTGCACGCTGCTAGGAGTCCCATTATGAGACATGTCATGCAGTCTCTTACTCACAATACTCTAGCTGATGAGGCAGTGTCCATGTTCTGTTAACTTATAGAGCTACATTTAAACAATCAATAGATCAGTTCACAATATCACTGAAGATGTCACTTCGTTCCAACTTGAATCCTTTTACGGTTTGTGAAAATGCTAGCTGTCACTATCCCATCTACACTTAATGCTGTAAAATTTGGTCAAAATTGATAAACCATTTCAACATGTCTAAATTGGAAATATTAGAGAGTAAGGTCTCCATGTTCTGTGTTATTAAGGAGAATAACATTCACATGTCTTGTGTGTGTGTATTAATTATATAAAGGTTATAGAATCACTTATCTGGTATCGTGGATATAACTGTGTGGTTACCATAAACTTGATGATTCAACAAACATTTTCGAAACCCCTTGGGGGTCGAGCTCTTGTTTAGTGTTGTTTACCTCTCCTATGTGGTTTATGAGCTATTGTAAAGGGAAGCAGTTGCGGGTTCCCTTGTCATCAAAATAAAAATAAAGGATATAGAATTTGTGTCAGATGGAATTGTACTAACGAAATTTTAACTTTTTGTTCCTTGTCAAGATGTTTCGTGCTTTCTTTGTCTAACTCGATTTGTTATGTTGATTTTATCATTTGCAGATTCATGTAGAGCAGAGATGGTACAACTGCCGCATTTTAGAAGAGTATCATAGGGTTGAATTTCTCCCATTTCTAATCACTTTTAGTTTTTTCGGGTCCTTAATCATTCTTTTCTTGTGCTGCGCCTATAGTTGGTTCTTGTGCGCTTTTATATTTTATCTCTTACATTGTCTTTGTTCCTTGTGGCAATACAGAGCAAGTTGACTCCATATATTGAAAAAAGGATTATCAACAATTCACCAAGTTGAGATCGGCTCTTTGTTCTCTATTCAGGTCCATCTACACACTCAAATGACAATGAGATTGGTCTTCAACTTACTATTTTTCCTCTGTTTAGTAAGCAGGAGCATAATATGCAGCAATCTTCTATTGAAGCTGTAGCTTGTGTTCTCAGCTCTTTTTTCGTAAAGGATTGATCTCAGCAATTTATGTCTTGAGAAGCAACCCTCTATTTTTTTATGTAATACACAGCAATAACCCCAAAAAAAAATGGATGTTAATGTAATTATCGAAACCATTTCACATGTACTCCATCACTTTAGAAATTTAAAACTAAAATTTACAATTGTATCTTTTAACGGGGGCCGTTTGGTTACCGTATAAAAAGTTATATTAGTTGTACTATGTTTGGTAGAAGTTTTTTATTAGGTTGAAAAGTCAACATAACTTATAGTACTATATTTGGTTAGTAGGGTTCTAAATGTTGTATAAAACTTATTCATCTAATAATTTTATATTTTGTCTGATTGTGTTTTTTGTAATCCTATATAATTAATACCAAGATAACTTATGAGGGAATCTATGTATAAGTTATGCTGGATAGAAGGTGGAATAAGTTATGCGAGTATTAGTTATAAGTTGTACTATGTTTGGTAGAAGTTTTTTATTAGGTTGAAAAGTCAACATAACTTATAGTACTATATTTGGTTAGTAGGGTTCTAAATGTTGTATAAAACTTATTCATCTAATAATTTTATATTTTGTCTGATTGTGTTTTTTGTAATCCTATATAATTAATACCAACATAACTTATGAGGGAATCTATGTATAAGTTATGCGGGGTAGAAGATGGAATAAGTTATGCGGGTATTAGTTATACATGTATTAAAAAAGTAAATTACACATTTACCCCTATTAATTTATTTTTAAATCATTAATTATTGAGAACTTTATCTAACTATACAGTTTTCCTAACTTTTCTTTTCTTTTATTTTTTAAACCCGAACCTTTTTTGTAAATACTTTATTAATATTATAAATTGGATTGTAAATATTTTGACGGCGAATATGTTAATCATATATAAGTGTTATTTATTATTAAATAAAGAGAAAAGACATAAAATCCCCCTGAACTTGTCCGCACAATTTACTTTAGCATTTTAACTATACGAGTGTTTAAATATCCCCTTAACATCTTTTAAGTGATTTTTTTCAACCCTCCCATCACCAGCCCAGTTGAAGGCTGAGTGTTGTTGAGTCACACACGTTTTCATTCATCCACGTGTACATTAACTAAATTCCTAATTAATTGCTTAAATCTCCATAATAATTATTTTTTTAATATTGAGCCAAAAATTAAACTCATCATTGAATTTACTCCTCAATATACAAACTATAATTCAAATTTCAATTGCATTTTCAGTTTAGTTACACCGTACCACCTTCGTCAAAAATTTAAAAAATTATTTGCATAAAAATGAAAAATTATTAATGAATTGGGCGAAATCTCCATAGTTAATCCTTTGCCAACTATATCTTTGATCCTTTTTTTTTAATGGAAATCAACTTCATTCTGATAACGCTTTAAACTGATAGATCTAATAATCTTCTTTGATGTCAAAAATGGGGTCGATGAATCAAACACCAAAATTTTTGTAAAAAAAAGAAGAGATGATTAAAAATAGAAAAGAAAAGAAGAAGAAAAAATGTGGAAGAAGTTATATTTGGGAGTAAATGTTTACTTGAACTAAATGAAAAAGAATAAAAAAAGAGAAAGAGATATGAGAAGAGGAAAAAGAAATGAAGAAGAAGATGCAGAAAAAGAAATATATAGAGAGAAAAGTTAATTCAAAATAAAATATTATAAAATTAGTAAAATAAGTTATTAAGTATGTTATCCAATAAAAATATGACATGTGTCAGTATTTTGGTGTCTTTCCTTTTTCACGCGCTTATGGAAAGTTGGTGATACAAATTTTGCCACGTCACTCTTTAAGGGGTAATTAAATTCAATTCAAATTAAATTAGGGGGATAAAGAAACACTTGTATAGTTAAAGTGCTAAAGTAAGTTGTGCGGACAAGTTCAGGAGGGATTTTATGTCTTTTCTCTTAAATAAATTCCACATACTTAATTAACATGTATTATTATTTTGTTTAGAACGTGAATTTATACCTAATTCATATATTTGGTATATTAAAAATATATAAACAAATATATACAATATATTGATAGAATATTTGCATTATATAAAATAGGATATTATAATGTACTTGAAATATATTAATGATATTTTCAAAAATAGCAAAAAGAAAAAACAAAAGTCTCAGTTAAGTATAGAGGGAGAACTTTTTTTTTTCTTTACTTGGTTTTTTATTCAAAAAGAGGGAGAACTTATACTGTTTGTTTACTTATCTATATGTAAATAATATATATTAATTTACAACAAATTCAATATTTAATAGTTAATAATTCATATATTATAATTTCTACATAACTAAATAATATCCGCATGACTAAACCCAACATAACTAAACCCTGCTTAACTAAACCTTACATAACTAATACCCGCATAACTAAACCCTGCATAACTAATACCTGCATAACTAATACTCCCTCTGTCCCAATTTATGTGACTTACTTTTCTTTTTAGTCAGTCCCAAAAAGAATGATATATTTTTATATTAAGTAATAATTTTACTATAAAATATATATTTTACCTTTAATAAAATAATTTACAGCCATACAAATTTCTATCATTCATTTTGGACCACAAATTTTAAAAGTCTTCATTTCTTTCTTAAACTCCGTGTTGAGTCATACTATCTCACATAAAAATGGAACGGAAGGAGTACCTGCATAACTCTAACCAGTAACCAAACAGGCCCTAAAGACCTTAATCTTTTAAATATTCCTCATCATTTCTCAAAAACACATTTAATAAGTAAGGTTAACTTAGTAAATTACTTTCTCTGTCCAACAATACTTGTTCACTATTAATTTTGCATGTTTCTTAAAAAACTATAAATAAAATGATAATTTTATTATATCACCCATTGAATATAGTAATAAATACAATGTCTTGGAAAATATAATAAAGAAATGACTATAATTAATTGCAAAAATTATACGAAAGATACTATAAATTGCAATTTTTTGCATACTAATATGATGAAAAAATAATCGTAAAATGTTGGCCAAAGTTCTTATCGTTTGCATCTAAAAAGAAAACTATGACAATTAAAAGTGAACGAAGGAAATAGTTTTTAGTAATGAAGTGAAAATCAGATGATCATCATTGTAGGAGTAATAAAGGTCTTTATGGATATACGACAATTGATATTAATTACTCTCTTTAATATCTATACGGTTTAGCTGCTATTATGCGAAAATTGCTACCGCTAATTGAAATAAACAAAACGTCTGAAATCTCAAAATACAAGTGTTATTGTCTTAAACCTGCATCGAAACAACCAAATTTTCTCGTCCCCTTCTTTTGATAACGAACAATTTTATATTATTAATGCATTTTAAGAGAATTAAACTTTAAGGTATTCTATGAATTCGAAAAGGGCAAAATATTTCAGGCGGGAGAAAGGCTTTTTAACCTTAAACAACACTCAAATTCACACACTCCGCTTCCTATTGGTCCATTTGAAATGACACGGATCGAAACATATTGAATGTACACCGTCGGATTAAAGATCAATCCAACGGCTGTAAACAAACATCCGAAAAACCAAATGACAACCAAAGATCTCTATAAAAACCATCCGCAGATTCTTACCCAATTCATCATCTCTCCGACAATCAATTATCTTTTTCAAATCAAACAAAATAAAGAAGCAGTTGTTGAAATGGAGTCTACCGGAAAAGTGAAGAAGGGTGCCGCCGGCAGAAGGGGAGGAGGCCCAAAGAAGAAGCCTGTCTCCCGGTCTGTAAAGGCCGGTCTTCAGTTCCCCGTTGGAAGAATCGGAAGGTTTTTGAAAAAAGGCCGATACGCTCAACGTGTTGGTTCTGGTGCTCCCGTTTACTTGGCCGCCGTTCTTGAATATTTGGCTGCTGAAGTAAATTTCCCTTCCTTCCCTCCAGCTTTGTTAATGTGGTTCAATTAGGATCTAGGGTTTCAATTATTTGATTGGTTGTTCTTATTTTTGTGTTGAAATTCTCTTATAGGTTGAAATTCATGTTGGGTATCTCACAAGTTTTGATTTTGTTTGATTTATAGGTGTTGGAGTTGGCTGGAAATGCTGCTCGTGATAACAAGAAGAACAGAATCATCCCAAGGCACTTGCTTTTGGCTGTGAGGAATGATGAAGAACTTGGGAAACTTCTTGCTGGTGTAACAATTGCACATGGTGGTGTTCTTCCTAACATCAACCCAATTTTGTTGCCAAAGAAGACTGGAGGTGAAAAGGCCCCTAAATCTCCATCCAAAGCTACCAAATCTCCTAAGAAGGCTTAGATTCTATTAGGGTGTTGGTTTTTTTGGATCTTCTGTGTATGTAATTCTGTTGTTAGAAGCTGTTGATTGTCCTTGATGGATATTAAAATGGAATTAGTGGAACTACTGTTAGATCTTTGTTAGTTTTTTTCTCAATTATCAATCAATGAAACCCCTTGTTTCGACTTTACAATTTCATTTCCTCATTTCTCTGTTTTTGTCTGTTGCCTTTTTCTAGATGTTGTTAATGTTGAAGGAATCACAACATCAATATAAAGTGGGTGTTTCTGGTCAAATGGTTAATAAGAAAAAATCCACTTTTTTAATTTCTGCTAATACTCCTGCCCAGCTTATTGAGGATATTAAAATTCTTACTGGATTTTCTCACTCCCTCTTCCCTATTAACTATCCGGGATGCCCTATTTATTCGGGAAGAAAGAAAATTACCTACTTTAGTAGTATGGTCTCCAAAATTGTCAACAGAACTCAAGGATGGTTGGGTAATTTGCTCTCTATGGGTGGCAAAGTTGTTCTTATTAGATCAGTGTTGCATTCGATGCCCTTACATATCATCTCTGTGGCTCATCCTCCGAAGACTATTCTTGATCTTATTGAAAATTCTCTTGCTAACTTCTTCTGGGGGTCCTCGGAAGGCAAGAGAAAATACCATTGGATCTCTTGGAAAAAACTTTGCTACCCCAAAATAGAAGGGGGAGTGGGGTTCAGATCTCTCCATGACATTTGTAATACTTTTGCGGCTAAAGCTTGGTGGAACTTTAGAACTCAAAATTCTCTTCTCACTAAGTTCTTAGAAGCCAAATATTGCAAAAGAATTCATGCTGTTGCCAGGAAAAAGAATTATTCTCAATC